TTAATGCTTTTATAAAATCTAGCTTACTAGCTATTAATAAAACTTCTTTATATTAATAAGCCTAATATATATTACTTAATTATTAAGAGATATAATACTTTGCACCACTTAGCATCACGCCCTACTTTATCTGCCAATATAAACCTAGAATAGACTAGTTTATCCCTTAGGAACCACAACCATTACACTTATCTTTAATAGGCTAAATACCCTCTTTAGTATTAACCTCTTTAAGTAAGTAATATTAATATACTAATTATAAAATATTATAATAACATACGCTAAAAACACTAATTTTTAATATAGAATATATTATTATATAATTGTTATTAATAATAATTATAATAATTATAATTATCTTATTAATCCTTTAATAAATATTAATAAGATTAGTAATAAAGATATCTTAAGCTTATATTTCTTTTTTTATTATTAACTATATTTATATAAAGGACTTTAAGCCTTATAATGTAATATTTTTATTATTATTATAGCTTTTATATAGCTTTTATAATTAAATAGAGTATATTTTAATAATATAAGGGGCCCTAATTAGAGACTTTAAATAACTTTATTCTTTAAAGCTATATATAAATATAACTTATATAATTAAAATTAAATTAAATATACTATATTATAAAGCTTATAAAATAGTATATTATACTTATAATATTATCTAAACTTAGCCTATTATTTCTCAAACTTATAATTAAGTAGCTTGTAAGGGGGATATTATAGATTTATATATACGTAGTAAATGTTATTATAAAAAAGATAATAATAATTATAATAAGTTAATTTAAGTAGTAAGTCTTAGTAGTTTTAAAAGGGTTTTACCTTTTAATAGGTTTAATAATTTTTTTTTTTTAATAGCCATATAGCCTTTAGGTATAATACCTTTAATTAATAATTTTAATTCTTACTTTCTTATATTATCGTTACTTCCTCAGGGTATTATTAGCATATAATTTTAAGCTTTTTTATTTTTCTATAATACTTTAGATTTATATTAATTTAATATAATTTGAGGTATATTCCTTATATTTAATTTTATAACTTATTAATTATATGTAAAAGTCTAACCATTTTACTTAATAAAATAATAAGTGTTTTTATTAATAACCTTTTTAACTTTAATATATTTAACTTTTTATATACTATTTTCTTTTTTTAATTTACGTATTAAGAGGGTTTTTCTTTATATCATCCTCTTCCTTTATAGACTTTAAGGAAATTAATATAAAAGATATTATATAGTTATAAGTATTATTTAAGGACGATTAATATATATACTTAAAGCCTAATTTACTTAATACTTTAAAACAATTTAATTTACTTTAAGGCTAGAATTTTTTTCTTTAAGTCTAAGGTTTTTAATTAATAATATTATAAATTACCCCTAATTATAATATATCTTTTTATATTTAATATTAAAGTATTTAGTTTATTTTTTTATATTAACTTTTTAATATATAATAAGCTTATTTTTAAGATCTTAAAGTTTTTAAACCTGGAATATTACTTTTAAAGCTCCTTTTTAAGTACTATTATTTTTATAGTAATATAAAATTCTAGCTTAAATCTTATTAATGCTTACAATAGGGTTACTCTAATAGTTAAGTTTATCCCTCTATTATATATAAATTATATTATATATAAAAGTTTTAACTAAGTATTTTAATTAGTATTAATAAAATATGTTAAGTAATATTTTAATATTTAATTTATTCTTTTTATTTAATTATTTATTTATAAGTAAAATAGTATTAATAGCTTTTATTTTATCTTTAAGAAGAAATACAACTTTAATTAAAATATACTTATAGAAATAAGTTTTTTAGATAAGATTACCTTATTTAATATTTTAAGTTAAAGCTTAATTTTATTAGAAAATAGCTTAGTAAGTTTAAACATTATAAATAATATGCGAGTGGATTAGACAAGCAAGTGGATTAACCCACTTTTTACCTTAAAAGGTAGGCTATTATTAGCTGAATAGTATGCTGATCCACTCTCTTGTCTAATTCACTTGCTTATTATGTACGTTATTATAATTTTAATTAATATAAGAGAGAATTATATATATTTTATATACTTATTAATAATATTTAAAATTATATTAACTTTTGTACGTTTCAAGATAATAAATGATAGTTATATAATAAAATCTATAAATACTTTTCCTTATAATTTAAAAGGAATTAATAGGCTTTTTAACTAATTAGATAGCTAATATCTTTTTAATACTACTCCTTAATGTATATTATAAATATATATGTTACGATTCGTGCCCGTAACAGCGCTGTAAGGCTTCTTCTATAAGGCAGCTGTAGCACATCCATGATTGCTTGCATAGCGATTATGGCCCGATCTTTTGCCCTGTGGGTTAACGGCTTGTGCAACTGTTACAACTGTATTATAAGGTTTTCTATATGTAATAAAATAGCTAAAAATCTGTAAAAAATACTATTAATTTAAGTTAATCATACTATTTTAAGTAATATTTTTATTAGAATTTTAGCTACTTTATTTATTGTAAAAGCTTGTTATAGGGTAAGTTTCTATAGTTATACAGTGCAGTGGTCAATATACTTGTCTGGTCAGCATACTTATCAACACATTATATTAAATAATTAAAGATTAAAACTTTAAATTCTATGGTGTTACGATTGGCTACCGTAACAGCGCTATAAGGCTTCTATAGGCAGCTGTAAGCACCACTGTAATTGATACAAAAACAGTTATTAGCCAGTCTTTTGCCCCATGGCGTAGTGGTTAGGTGCAACCGTTACACATAGAACGAGAGCCAAGTTACCTTCTTTCAAGTTCTCGAAATATTCAAATGTGGTTCTTTAGTCATGAGATGTTGTTTGTGCAATGACCTCTCGCATAACAAGGTGATGTTAGCTAGATTCGTTGTCAGTTTTCAGAAAACCTCGGTCACTTTTGATGATATCATTTCCGGACCTATTAAGCACCCCTACTGTTGCTGAACCTTTTCTATACAAAAACAACGTTGGATAACCTTGCAAGTCTACTCAAATGAAAATGAATAAGTAGCGTCTGGCAATATGTGTCCTAGAGAAGGAAGTTCCAACCACCCTGGTCTAGATATCGGTTCTGTTGCTACGAACTCACCTTAGTTCGCATAGAGAAGCCCGAAGTTATCGACTATAGTAAGCCTTGATATCTGAGATCGTCTAAGAAAGAGCCTTCTTGTGTCTTCCTAGCAAATCGCGTGATAGCGTGGAAGATGGATGAGTCGTAGCCTGAGACCTTGGAGGTATAACAATGTGACTTCCGGCACCCTAGACTTTGTCCGTTCACGCTTCGTAGTAGAGCAATTTCCGGCCTCACAGGCTGCTAATGTGGAGTTGTCTGAATAGTAAAGATCTGTTTGGCGGGTCCGAGTCAAGGTTGTTTTCTGACGTTAAGCTTCTCCGCTGGAACGGTATACGCAGTCGGGAGTTTCTCGCTAAGTCTCGAGCTGTACAGTGTCCACTATATGGATAGCTCACAGGAAATTGAAAATTTAATGAAATACAGTAAGCCCAATCTGGCTTGGATAGACTAAAATAGATATAAAATCGCACAAACTATCTATCGTCTATCCCATCTGTGTTTCCCGTGGCTCCGGCATGTCGAGAAACTAAATTACACGAGACGGCAGGACAGCGTGACGCTAGCATGGAGAAGGGCGACAGTTAAAGGACGTGTAAGAAGACGCCGGCCGGCAAATGTCGTCGTTGAGAGATGATTTTGAGTCGGGAGGCGTATGCGAGGTCAGCGGGATGCCCGGATGCCCATTTGCAAGTCCACGGTTCCGTCGCTTCTGTGCTGCAGGTCGTAAACCCATGACTGAACTTTCCATGAAAAGGATGCCTTGTAAGAACCCAAGACTCGGGTATTGTCCACTGGCTGAAAGCCCAGCTAGAACCATGGAGATGATTACCACAGCTAAGCCAGCCCAGAAATGGTGAATGGCCGTACGTCTAGGTATGCTGTGCCTTTGAATCCCACAAGAAGCACGATACATTATCGCTATTGTTATGACTTGGGATGTCAGCGGAGGCAAGACACACGCAATTTCGCTGTGAACCGTGACTTGAGGAACGAATATCAAGGCCACTACGATGATAACCTCAATACATTCAAAGGCAACGGCATAAATCGCCCACATCTCCAGATCAGTGCCATTTCCGATCGGAAATATAACCGCCAGGACCTGCAAGGACATCTTAGAGCAAGCGCATGACGGGTAGCAGACTCTTCACTTACTTGTAATGTTCCAATCCCCCATAATGATAGCGTGATCAAGATCGCGTACATAGAACCCTGAGGAGACCAGGACTCCTTGATCGCTCCACTCATCTGAAGAGAAAAAAGAATCAAGGCCTGCAGCTCTAGGATTATCCATACTATAGCCAAGGCCACCAAGCATGTATTTTTTGACCAAGCGGCGTCGAACTTGAGGTATATGAAGAGAAAGAAGAAAGACAAAGAGAGTATGGATAGGAGATAGCTATCAACGATTTGATATTGATGCATGTTGTCCATGTTTGTTTCAAAGAAGTCGATGGTAGAGTATTTTTAGGCTTCACTCAGGGTGGTTGAAGCGTCATGATGAGCGACTGGAAGTGGAAGCCGGGCCTTATTTAAGCCTGTCACCCATCAGATCCATGGTCTCTTCATTGGCGATTCAAGTTGGCATGGTTGCTCAATACTGGGTCTCACTTATGACTGGGGCTTATACAAAACTACCTCAAGTCCGCCGGCCCGTCTTTAGCGCTTTACGAAAGATCCATGGAACAGTTCCGAGCCCCCACGGATTTGTGGATTTGGTAAAGCCCCTGACGCATGGCAAAACTACGATAAGAACTCAATCACGCTAATTAGTTTCCGCCAACGGTGTTGGTCGAAGTGGCGTCAGGGAACTCCTGACATGGATCATTCAGATAGCCTACTTCCCGATATTTGACAATTTGCCACCTAAGTTCATGGCCGTTCCCATGACTGCCAGAAGGAATCATAGTTCTACTTTCTGTGAACACGATATAAAGTCGCCAGAATCATAATGAGTAGTTTTGTTCTACAACATGAATCAAATTGCTGGATTTTAATTACGTTTCTTGTCGGTGCTTGTCTACTGTCTGACGAAAATAGATGTCTCATCCACCTTCTGCCCCATTCGTTGTATAGTCTTGCACAACGCTGATCTAAGCAGCATGTTAGCTCCTGATGCAATTGAACATCACAAAGACAAACCTACCCTCGTAAGGACGACAATGCGTTCAGGTTCTTTCTTTTCAGCCTTTCCCTCACCCGATACCACATTCTACATAGGTTATGGGCGCGTGTCCAGGGAACATCTCACAGAGTTCGGCCAACTCATATGGCGATGTCTGATTCTCGCGCAAGCACGCCTCTATGTGCTGTTCCATCTCTTCGATACTGGACGGTTGTGAAACTTGCGCAGACGTCCTTATAGTATCGTCCGTCGGTTCGCCATGTGCATCGGTATGGTGACTGCTCTGTCGATCGTTACTGTCGCTCGGTACACGCAATTCTGCTGATGTTTCTCTGTCGATGGCATTATCCGCTCGTTGAGAGTCATTGCGTAAGAGGTCAGGACTACTTGACCTTAGCTTTAGCGGAGCCATCCCACTAGAAAGTGGCAGTTACCTTATTTTCATCGTGCATACCAGTCCACTTGAGCTTGCGGACTGCAAAGTGTGAGCCTCGTTAATCTTGCAGCACAAAAGACCACGGTATGTCAGAGGCTTCGAAATCGCCCGCATATCGTTCTGATGCTCGCCATCAGCGCTGAATACAACAACGAATCCTCCGTACATCGCGGGGTCGAAGAGAATCGTGTAGATATCGCGATCGTCGAGCGCGTATGTGAGAGGCTCTGGTGAAGTTGTCCCAAGAGTAATGACGGTTGTACCCTTTCGAAGCTGAACGTTGACATTCTTTAGTCCTTTTGGAAGCTCTGCCGTTGCCCTGCAAGAGTCTCCTTCCCATGATAACTCGACAAAACGTCGCCAGCTCGAGAATTGTATGTAGCTTAGTGGTAGTCAGCGTAATGTTTGATCCTAATGTTCGATCTTACACTTCAAAGCCACTTTTCGTTGAAATGTGTTGGATATGCTGTTTCTCGATGTCGAAACGGCGCAGCTGCGACTGTAGCACTGCGAGGAACCGCCCGTCGTCGTTTCGCACAGAGCCGATAGTACCGTTGCGTGTAAGGTACGCGACATTATCGTTGTTTAGAGAAGCAAAGCCCCGCATGCCCTTGATCAGCCCATATTGAAAGATCTTGTGATCCATTCTGGATACTGACAGTACGAAAGGTGACGGAGACGAGCGGGTCGCAAGATGCATGAACTAAAGAATACCCAACAGCAATATTTCCACCTGCACACGAGGCGTTGCCCGGCGGAAATCAGCGGAATGTCCCGGTCGCAAACCTGGCGAGTTGGTTGGGAAAGAGATTATGAACAAACATGTCCAAGAAGCGTCTTGTCGCCAGGATCGCGCTGCTTTTCCAGAGAAATCAGGAGAAACCCTACACATAACCTTCAGCTAAATGCGGGTGACTTGGTTGCCAAGACATTCCCCGCCTAAAATAGGAAAGACTTTCGACTTTGCGCATCAGCCGAGCTTGCACTAATTTCCGGCGAGCATGAGGGTCATGACTTAACCGCAAATGGTATTCCTCGTAAGCTGGAGGTAAAGCTAAGAGCCTGCCACGATGACCAATACATTCCTCCACCCCGAAGCTGTTATCTCTTGTCTCACCATACGCCAATGACGATCGCATCTCAAGTCTTGGGGGGCATGAAAGATGTTGGCTCTATCGCAACGACCCCGGCATTTTCGCAAGAGCCCAATATTCGAGCCTGAGGCAACCATGCAGATACCCCAACCTCGAGATCTTCTAGCTAGTGCGAGGCTTTTGTGTTGGTCAAGGCTCCCATTACCGCTCACAGAGCCACCCGTATTCAAGCAGATGGCTGATCACACGCCGGATGTGGATCGAGCGGCCGGCTCTCAGGCACGGCCTTTGTTTGGATTCCACACCCTAGACGAAAACCTGCAGAGACTTCGACAGGAAGCGATGCCTGAAATCGTGATGTTGCAACCCCGACCCGCCGAGAAGAAACCTGGCCTTCAGCGTTATGACCCGCCCAAATCATGTGTTGACATGTACGAGATCCTCCAGAATCAAGTACGCGTACAAACCCTGTCGCTCTCTGCTGTCGCTGATGCCGTTCTCCAGGCCAATTTAGTCCAGTTAGCGGGCCTGAAAACCGGACCAAGGGTGCGGGAACCTCAGGTATTTCAGCTCTCCGAGGGACATAGTGCAACGATCACGGAAGGGTACCTGGGTCGTGCTTTTCTCTTATCACAGTACGAAGCAAAGTTTCAAGTGAGGCGCGGAAGTTATCTGTCGCAGCAGGAGATTTGGAAGCCTGATCAGGAGCTGTATTTCGGTGGCTCGCTGGTAGCTTGTGCTCCCCACACCAAGTTTTCTCTAGCTATTTACGAACTGGTTCCCGTGTAGGAAGAGCAAATCCTTCCATGACCTGCATCATGTTGTGGTCGGTGGAGTCATGAGCATCGTCTCCGACCCTGGCGTTACTGGCTGTAGGAACTGCGAGGTGGCGTTCAATATCAACCAGGCTGTCAAGTCAGTACTGTACCTGAAGCTAGCCGGTGTATCTCACCTGAGTTTGCCGCCATGAAGCTCGTATATGATGTTGGGTATACGGAGTGAGCCTGATGATAGCTGTTTCTTGGGGATATAGACTTTGACATCTGCTAGCACCGCCTGATCTCCTTCAACCGTCATCTCACGCAAGATTCCAATATCTTCATCTGGAATTTTCTTCATTATGTGAATGAAGCTTTTCCCTGCTAGCATTGAGTACACTCATCTGTATAAAATGACCTGTAGGTACTCACGACGGAGAGGAAGTTCGTCCGCTCTGGCAAGCCACGACTGACGCAATGCATCTGAAGCTTTGATCCACCGTCGAACGCCAAGTCGTAGGGTTCTCACTGCGGATCTTTGGGCTCCTGTATAGGCCATCGTCATCTCATCGACCTCCCTCACCGGAAGATCCGATTTGATCGCAACGTCTCCCAATGCAATGAAGACGAAACTGTGGATCTGTGATTCTAGATTACGAAGTAATGCCGCATGCTCCTCGGCAAACGATTGAAGAAGCGCTTTCCGTTTCATCTTAGCACGTCCTTCGCGCACGAGTTTGCTCAAAGTTAGGTCTAGACGCAATTGTTCGATTTGCTCTTGGGTGCGTGGTGCTTTGTCATCCCAATCTTCTTCCCCTTTAGGTAGTGCTCTCAGAAAGGTCTTGATCAGACTGACTGACTCGGGCGATCGACTGGGCTTTGGCTGTCGCGGCATCGGCGGCTGCGGCCTACCCGAGCTGAATATAATATTGTCCATGGTGATGAAAAATATCTTCTCAGGGGTGTGGGGACCAACAAATTGAAAAAAAAAAAAAATAGAGAAAAAGAAATGGAGGCGGGATGGCTCAAAGAAAGCTCAGGTGGCGGCTGGCATCCGAAGAGTGAATCGTAAGAAAAGGTGGGTGGGTCGATGTTGGCCCATGAAAAGGAGATTCAGCTAATTAGCGTCAAGATGGCACAATTAATACGGCAGCGAACGTGAAACATTGGTCACACTCGACGTGGGACTTTTCTTGGCAATGCAAGTTCCATCTTTATTAGGCTTAGTCCAGCCTGCCGTCGCAACGGATGACTTCCGGCCCCCGGAAAGCGTCAAGTACATTGCTGACGCCAATGCAGATCATACTATCTGCTTCCTTCCCCTGCGGTTCGCGCACCATTCTACAGCTCAAGCTGTCTCTCGTTTCCCTCTCAATTCCATACGCACGATGGCTTCAACGCTTCGACAAAACCCCGACCGAGGTGGCTAGTGAGCCTCTTACCAATCACGATATGATGGCCATAATGAAGTCAACAACACACGAAAGAGGTGAAGGGAACGATGATGACCCGTGTAAGAACGATGTCATGAAGGATGACGGGGTCGATGAGACTACTGCTTGAAGCACAGTAATTTTCCCATATTGTGCCGTCGACGTCGTATGGTGTTGATAAGAGAGAACGGGAAAGGGAGAGAAAGGGAAAGAGGGGAAAGTGCGGAGATAAGGCTGACTAGCCAAATCGAGACGCCCAGCATTTTATTGACTAGCCTCGTCTTACAAAACACGGATTTGGTGGGGGACGGTCTAGCCCAATCAGAACGATATGAGTGCTGAAGCAGCTTATCTCACAACCCTGGCAAATCCCAGCTAGGACAATACCTATCTTATGCATTACCATCACAATGCAACGCTCTTGGATCGCTGAAGGGAAGTGTCGCAGGGTAGGCATGATCTTCACGACCCCAGAAACAACTGTGTTAGTAACCAAGCTGTATACTTCAAGTAACTATGCGGAATGGAATACCTTGCACTAAAAAAGAAAAATAAAAAAGAAAAAGAAAACCATCAACCAACTCACTACTGCTGTTCACTATTAATGGCCTGACTTTCTATCTTTTAAGCACACTACGTACGACACACCACAAACCAATCAGTTTGTTCAACAACTTGCGTCGGTTGACGAACCACACAACTTGGCCAGTGTGGGTTTGATTGCAGAAACATCCAGTCTGATGCAGGCACTGTATCAGCTCGAGGGGAAGATTGGGACAATGGCCCGTTGGGACAAAACGGTGGTTGCTAACTAAGTTAAGCACGTTAATTCAGCTGTGGCTGGCGTAAACAACTGTTTTGCTTTTGGCTACCGGAACGTTGACCCGTCCATTAGTATGCAAACGAATGCGCCTTAGCGGGTCCGGGACGGCAGAACAGGCAGATCATTTGCAGGGAACAGACAGCCGAGCAAGTAATTTAGCCCCTGATGAACGGACTCCAGGCTTGCCATCCTGCATACGGTAGGCTCCTTGATCAGCAGTGAGGTGAGGCCATCTACAAATACTAAAGTCTTCGTCTTTAGAATGCAGCTTGGAAACCTCTTTCAAGTTACTGTCTGCAACGAAGCTTTTGCTTCCTCTTTCTGCAATGGCTGAGACCACAAGCAACAGGGGGGGCCTAACAGCCCCGCCAAACAGCCCAACCCAGGGCGCCACAACTCCTCCAAGCTGCGACGAAATACAGTCATGCTCACTCATGGATCCTATCCCTACGACCCGGATGAGAGAACAATTGGAATATGAGCCACCACAGTCAAGCTCTTCCTCTCGAGCTCCTTCTCCCTGTCAGCCAGTCACTCTTGGGGGCAATAGCATTGCCCTCTCACGCGTGAACTACGGCCGTCGAGAGGACGACGAAAATATACACGCGTCTGCCACTCCCTCGCTCAAAGACAATGTGTCTCCGAACAACAGTCCTCCTCTGAATCACTTGCTGATTCGGCTCAACCAAAATGCATTGCTGGCCTGTGGACTTTTCAATCACTCGAGGCCCTCAAACCCGTTTGCCCACTGGGATGTGCAATACCTCAATCAATATGGCGTCGAAGTCTACACATGGTATCTCCTTGCCTTTACCGAATTGTCGACCAGTAAACAGTGCAAACGATACGAGAGTAACGCTCAATGGCTCGAACTACGCCTTCGTGACCTCCAAGCGCATCTTCAACTGCGAGATTATGCTGTTCTTGAAGCAGAGTTTTCGGATCGGCAGACCCCTGAAGGTATGACGACGCGGGCAATGCTATGCCAACTGCAGCGTTTTCAGGAGGCCGCACTATCAGACTTTGCGCACTGGCCGAATGAAGGCTATGACGATGCGGTTGCGATTTTCCTCACTAAGTGTCTTGCTCGATTGCGATTTACGGCTTCCCTGGCAGCTCTTCAAGCAGACCCTGCGAGAGTCATGGCAACCATTTATTGGAAGTTTGAGAGAACTCTTCAGTCGGATGGTTTATCTTCTAACTTGCCTTCACCTTGCATCACAGATCAGGCAGATTTCTCTGAGGAGTATCATTGCAAAAGTTGGTTGGCAGATGTAAGCGATGACAGTGATGATGACAATATTGGTTGGTGGTCTGCTTAATGGCGATGTTCGTGGTAGTAGCAGATATATTCTGCGTCAGTAGGCAATTGGACGAAGATGGCAATGACCATCGTCGATTTTCGGCCTATGTTTCCAATTCATGTTACTGAGCTTAGGAAATCCGGTTGGTGGAAGGAAAGGGAAGCGAAGGTATCTAAAAGTCGTTATAGAAGCGCGGATAGGAATTGGTTTGAATTGATCTTGAGGATGATGCATCTTGAAATTCTTCTGCCAAATCCTGCTCACCGCCAAAGTCTAATGGACGTACCTTGTTCACCCAGACCTTGAACTTTGGCAAACAAATTTGGGCACTACATGGCAAGGACTGTGGCCCTCATCATCAACACCATTCACCTGGTCGATCCTTTGCCCGTTAACTGCTGTCAAAAGTTGTTACATCTTCAACAAGATGTAACGCCACGTATGCTTCCGTCAGTAAATGTAAGGGGAGTCATTTTGCCGTGTCGTCTCAAACTGCCCCGTTAGATCCTCGAAGCTGACTTGTGAGCGGGCCGCAGAGCCTGCAACCACCTCCTGCAGGTTCAAGATGCCTTATTGTTCCGATATGACTCTGGCAGGGCCGTTCAGACGTCATGTTTCCTTGGCCGCGGCCCCGATTCCTCGTGGATGGGATGTAACGCGGCCATCAATTTCCCCTTATCGCAACGCGACTGTCGATTCTCCTTGTCGCCTAGCCACCACCACAGTTCCTTTTTCCTTTCTTTTTGATATTCTATGCGGACCGAACACGCCTCAATTTTCAATGGCTTATTAGCCTGATTTCACTCGGAGTAGAGTTTTTTCCCTGGCAGATACCGACCTCGGCGTCTGCAAGCATATGGGATTGGATGGAGAACGTCTGATCCCTGTATAGTTGTTGGCCCAACCCTCCGGCGGGACATCTGCTGAGATGAGAGAGAACAACGTGGTCCAGCTCAGACGTAATTGGTCCCCGCTCGAGCTTGGCAACAAGGGGGTTGAGGTATTAAAAGCTGGCCGACTCGCCGCCTTTCTGTGAGGGGAATGCTGGCTGCAATGCTTTGTTCAGCCTACAAACCGGCTCGTTGATAAACGAACCAACACACGCGTATAAAGACAATTCAGGTTCAACACGATGGCAGCAACCAACGGAGATGTTATCATAGCTCCCGATGATAATGTTCAATCCCAACTACAAACAGTACAAGCATGAGCTAACCTTGAGTCTAGGATGTTGCCGATCAAGACTCCTCTTTTGGAAGTGTATGGGTAGCCTCTTGCTCGTTGCCTTTTAAAATGACGTCAGATCACTGACATAAACCCTGGCCATAGGAAACGGCGTCGTCAACAGCAAGCCTGAGAAGCTCTATTCTCGACTACCGACGCGAAAACGGGAGAACGTATCATCGATTCAAGGATGGAAGTGGGTTAACCTTTCTTACCCTACAGATATTTCCTACGAATACATCCCAACTCTAGAGTATAACCTCCCCAACGATGAACGAGAGAATGAAAGGTTGGGTAAACTTATGCAACTCACTCGCCGTTTAATTTTGATGCTAAAATTGTTTAGACCTGCAGCACCATTTGTTTCTCCTAACCTTCGACAACAAACTTGGTCTCGCCCCACCAAACCTACCCGGTTCCAACGTCGAACGAGTTCTCGACGTTGGCACTGGTACAGGTATTTGGGTGATTGACTTTGCAGATGACCATCCTGAGGCCAAGGTAAAGGAAGGCATCCCGGAGCTGAAGATGCTCATAGTTAACATTATATATAGGTTCTCGGGATCGACCTTTCTCCCATTCAGCCTAGCTTGTACTGTCTGAGCTACTCTTTGGGAGCCAAATAGTGACTGACAGTTGACTAGTGTCCCTCCCAATGTGGAGTTCCTGATCGACGATATTGACGAGGAGTGGGATTATTCTGCGCCGTTTAGTTACATTCACAGCAGAATGATGAACATGAGCATTCAGAACTGGGAGGATTATCTACGCAAAAATTTCGAGTGAGGTCCCCTCTAAGTCCCGTATTGCCTATAGGTTAGCCCTAACTTGGCTAGTAATCTTACCCCAGGCGGCTACGTCGAACTCCAGGATATTGATGCTTTCATGAAGTCTGACGACGGTACTCTTACCGAAGCACATGCACTATCGAAATGGTGTAATCTTCTACGTGAAGCAGCGGTCAAATTGGGTCGCCCGTACATACCAACCAAGGAATTGAAGGAGATCATGGACAAAGTTGGATTCACTAATATCGTCGAAACTCGCTTCAAGCGGCCGTCAAACTGCTGGCCCAAGGACAAAAAATACAAGGAGCTCGGAGCATGGAACAATGAGAACACGAACCTTGTTCTTGAATCAATCACTTTCGCACCGTTAACGAGGGGCCTTAATTGGACTATCGAGGAAGTCAATGTTCTTCTGGTTGATGTGAGGAAAGAGTTGAATGATCCGAACATCCATGCCTACTGGCCAATGTACGCATCCCGTCCTTTGACCTCGATTCTGCATGCTAATGTATTATTAGTTGCTCAGTTTATGGAAGGAAACCAGAAGTTTGAGGAAGGGTATGCGAGCAATGCAGTACCTGCGGAATTCTATGATTGTGCGAATAACTTTGATCCCGGGTCGTGACGCAGTCAGCAACGACCATCAACTGCGTAGAGGTAAATCGGCAGCAAGCAATCGAACCTAGCATCGAGCCCGACTGAGCATCTTTCTGCTGCACGCATGAACAGCATGCAGTGTCTGTATTATGTTCCTCTCGTAATCTTTCGGGCCCGTCCACGCATCTCGTAGGCCTGTCACACTCGAGAATACGACTCTGGACCTTGCGTACCTCCCCACGACTTATTGTATGGAAGTATCCGCCGCTGTAATTTGTTCACCCTCGGAGCGGGAGGCGCTTTTCCCGGTTTCTCCTCATGCTCCTGACGCAGTCTTTGGTAAATCTACAATATCCAGGTCCAGGTCATCTAACAAAGGATTAGAAGAGGTTAACGTTGTCCTCACTGATCGTGAGATTGTCGATCGATCTGTCTCTTGGACGGAGCCTGTCTTGTGCAAAGGCTAGGTATGCCTCGATGAAGCGCTCAAAAGCGGCAAGTAGAGCCCATCGAGACCTGCCTTGTAGACGAACCTTTCTATAGCCTAGAGTATGACATGTCGGCATCCTGTTTGGCAGTGCATGGGTGTTAGCCTTCGCTGAGGACGTGGATTTGTTGTTTATATTGCGCAGTAGCGCTAGGTGAAAGTATTGGTTTATTAAACTTGATTGCTTATTATTGAGATTAGACTCCTTCTCGGGTTTAAACCTCTAGATGATTTCATCTAGCCCTTTGAATTCTAAATCTAGGACTTTCAGACTAACAGTCTGAATCCTGAAGCGAATGGAAGGAGGATTCCCGGATGTTGCAGCAGGATTAGGATTGCTTAGTAGGAGTTTATTGGGCGCCAGTTGGCTAGATGAGCACTTCCTACTGGTGGCGGTGCTACTACATCCTTCCGGCAATGCCTCAAATGCGATATTGTCCCGCGGTATTGGCCTTTGCGACGGTTGTTCGTGGACCTTGTTATGCCCGTCCCCTGTTGAAAGTTGTCCCAAACGTCGGCATCCATGTAGGTGAAGTCTTTCCAAGACACCTCATGTAACTTCTCGTCTTCCTCATCGCGTTCCGGGTATGCCAATGAGCCCTTGATAGATAAGAAGCGCATCTCCGGACATCCTGCGAGGTGGGTTTTGCTACAAGTCGTCGCCCAACCAGCATTCAACGCACCTGCTGCATCACCTCGTCAATGACGATCTGCTAGGTAATACCGTTCCGCTTGATCTTGAGGAAGCTCTTATAGTATGGCGTCATGATCATTAGGTCGGCTCCAAGTTCGACTTCGTTCGTTTAAGAAAAGCTGAGGATCGTGGACACAAATTGCAGTCCATCCTCTTCAAGCCTGGACTTATGGTATTTGCGACTAGTGACACCGAGAATTGTTCCTAATATTCGTGTCAGTTACAAACGACGCATCCTCGCCTGTATTTGGACTTGCGCCAAGAAATACCAGCGCTCTGCGAGCATGTGGAACGTCGCGCGTGGCGCAGCCTACCTACCAGCTTCCCAGCCGACATAGACTCCGGTATCATCTTCCATTTCGGATACCGCTCTCCCCTAGCCTCCAATCCCGTAAGCGTCTTAGCTAAGGCTATCTACAAGATCGTCGACGGTAAGGCCTAACTCGACTGCCACCTGCTTGAAGATACCGTTTGCCAGGTGGTCACGAGTTTGTTGATGCTGGACAACGGACCTTTATGCAGTATGTGGTGTGCGGGCTGCCTAAAGACAAGTTTTAGACGGTGCTGCGGCGTGTGTGGGATGTTATTGTTGGTGAGATGGACGCCAAGATGTGGAAGCCGATTTAACTTGCCTTGAGCATGTAACAACAATGTCTTGTGGTGGAGTATATAGAACTCTACTTGAATTTGATCTAGCCCAGTTCCGTGCATTGGCACCGTACCCAGACCTGGCCAATCTGCTCTTGTCCCCGCGTGTAGTGCGGCAGGAACAAGCACTTGGATTGCAGGACACTAAACCTGTTGATGCTCGCGTTATCTGGGCTCGAATATTTTGCTTCCTGCCGCCCGGCCTTTCACCTCATCCCTTGCCTGGTTGACATGGTGAGCATCACCGGTAGTAGAAAGTCACTATCTGAATACAATTTGCGGCCGACTTTATGCCACGCATCCAAATCACATTCCCACAATGAGCTATCCGCCATCCCTTACGCATCCTTCTCTAGAGTGGGCATGAGCTGACAAAACGGGGGGGGCTTGACTATTCATGATTCGCCAACTGCTTGGACAAACTTTGCTGACTTAACCCATACAAGTATAGGCGTAGGTCGGTAAAAGGAGAAAGTCGTCGATGCTCACTGCAACTCAACACATCGATCGTATACAAAAGAGTGAGGTTTTGTAAACTCGTCACCCAATTACACAGGATCCAGCGTTTCTTGACTAGGCATACAAAATGGATAATCGCGGGTGTCTTCGTCTTCGTTGAGGCGCCATTGTGAAGTTGGCAACTGCCTCTGCGGCTGCAGTTTGAGTTCTACCTCGGGACTTCGATGAAACTCAATAGGGACCAGTGACGCGCTCTGAAATACATCATAAGCGGCAAAAGTTGAGGCAGTAGCCTTATGTGTTAGCGATGGCTCCTCACTGCTGCTGTGGTTTGTAACTCACCAAAAGCCCATAGTCGGTGGACGACGGAAGCAAGAAGACGAAGGCCGCCAATGTCAGTACAATACGTGCCATAAGATACGTCTTCTCCATCAGACCAGGCTTTCTTTCTGACAGAGGCTGGTTCCTCTCTGCAACCACGCTTATCCATTCCCAGACAAAATAAAGATGGTACCCGCTGGCCGACACCTTCGCAAGTACGAGGCCGTGGCTAGAGATTGCAAGCAGCTGGAATATAACCCCGAGCTGGAGCAAAACCCAAGCAATACCAAAACCCGACCAAATGTGCCAGGGGTTGAAGATGTGCATACTTGGTTGCCAAGTGAAGGTCGATATCATGGCCTGGATGCGTTGTTAGCCATGGGTCTTGGTCTTTTGATCACAGTTGGCATACCTCATGAAACAAATTAGTAGATATGATCCAAGCCGCGAGTATCGTGGTGTAAGGCTCGCCATGAACGAACGTTAAAACTGCAAGGGCTGACGTCGTTGCGAATGTAGTGGACACGAATAGAAATATCCGCCAAAAATACCGCTTAGGGTGTCGTTCCCTGTAACATGAGAACGCGCTCGGTGCTTTGGGCTTGCATGTCTTGTTCAGTCGCCAGTAGATAAGCCGCGCCAAAGATATCAGACATGAAGTATAGGTAAGAATGAGAGTGACCAAGAGAGAGATACTAGGTGACGACCAGGACATTTTTGCGACGTAATGAAGAAAGACACTGACAAGTAGATGAGAAAGATGTCTTTTCTGCCTCATCTGCAGAGAACTGTTGCAGGCCAGTAGGGCATTTATATATCGGCCAAGACCATGGTCTCGAGGATTAAGAGGAAGACAATCCCAGTCAGTCAGCCTCTCATTGAACAGAACAAAGTCTTCGGGGAGCGGAGCGATCCTCGTTGGTCAGTAATCACAACGACTCTAACTATTGTTCCATGATCCATGTCCTACGAGCTTCAAGTTCCGGCAGCCGTTCCGTCCCCTGCACCGACCTTCTCTCCGCTCCCTTTTTCGCTTCGGGCATTCTGCATCAGCCTTTCCGTTTGGAAGACGAGGTTGCCAGTATTTTATTATGTTGACTTTGTTTTAGACGAGAGTATAGCCCAGTTGTTTTGCGCGTTTGGTACCTTAGCTTCTGTCGAAGAGTGAAGATTGAAGTTTTCGTACCGTAAGGGGGATTCTGCGCGTAGAATTCTCTGCGTAGACAGTGAGGACGGCGAACTGCTACACCTAACGGGTCACATCCTTGCTATATCGCGTGGCGCTGATGATCTACCAGGGTCCGAGAGAAGCGCGCACCTGAACGACTGTTTCCTCCACCGAATCAAAAACTATATTGTTTGAGGGGGATCCCGCCTCAGCCGACACCCTGACCCCACACCCCCACTGTTCATTAACGTTACTCCTGTCTCTTTTTGGCGCAGTTGTTCCACTAGCACAGTTGTTCCAATGGCACAGTTGTTCCAATGGCACAGTTGTTCCAATGGCACAGTTGTTCCAATGGCACAGTTGCCCCATCGACGCTGGGGTTCCACTTACAGCCTGACGCGACCTTTGTTCCCTCACTAACTCATCAACCCAAAAGTTAGGCATCAATGCGGGGTTGCACGGCCTTGTCCCCATTTTTCTTAATTACATCGGGTGGATGTTGCCCTCCGGGTTTTCTTCTCAATTCATTTGCCTATCCTACCCTATCATAAACCTAATCGCTTTCAACACCAAGCATAGATGACCGAGGTGAGTGTCGGGAAGGCTGCCGGAATTCGTGTACTGACTGGTATCCCAGTCAAACGAGAATGCAAGCGACTGTGAAACCACAAACGGTAAATTTGTCATGATAGACCGGAAAATTTTTGGAACATCAAGTCGCGATCGTCTGATGTCTTGGAAAGCTGGTGGGGGTCGAATAAATATTGGTGGACAATTCAAGGCTACGGCTTCTAACGAAGACAATGTTGATCTTCCCAAAGGGACCTATCTCGCAGTAGAAGAAACCAACTTCAAATGTGTATATAAATAAGGAAGGTTAATCGGTGGAGGGAAATACACGACTTGCTTTCCACCCCTGGGAATGGCTAAGAACGATCCTCACAATCGCATCACTGCCCTCATAGCTACGGACCTTGACCGTATCTGCCAGCACCCCGTTCTCAAAACAGTCGCTATCTATCATGCCTTGGAAAAGAAAGTCCCCCATCACCATCCGCAACGCATCCTGTGAGTCTCGCCTCGCCTCTGCTATATCTGCCGCACATTCCTTGGAGACAATTAGATCTAAAACAAAATCGCCCACGACATTCGGCCAGAACAGACAGATTGTTTGTGTTGAAGGCTTCTCGTGTTCACTCTTCCAAACTTCGGTTCCTTGCATACCCCTTTGGAGGAGTTCGCTGAGTATCATAGTGAGATTTGCCCGAGCCGCCAGGTGCATGGGGTGAAATTGGCCATTTGCCCGAGCCGCCAGCTGCACCGGGTAAAATTGGTCATTTGGAGGTTCGAAACGGCGCAGCTGAACGCCAGGCGCTTCGACTTCCTGACTTTGGGCTGGCCTATCCTCGCTTTCAGATGCTTCGACCCTCTGTCTTTTGGCTGGCCTCTCCTCGCTTGGTATGGGAAAATCTCCTGGCGGCAAATGCTGTGGTGGGTCTGGAGTGACTTCCGGGGTTTCAACTTGATGAGAGAATGACTGAAGAGTGGCTAGCGTAATACCTTGTAATCTTGATAAGTAGTTTTGATGTTGTTGATGCCAGGATTGAGCCTCGTCTTGTGGGAAAGCTTCTGCTGTGAAGTAGATCACGCCTTCTACTTGTATTTAGCGGCAACCATTAATGAAGCTGGAAATCACCTCCAAACTCACCATATACGGCCAAATACCTGTCACGGCCCTGCAAGGCCTTGCAGTATTTTAGCCAGTTTTCAAAAAATGAGAACGTTGGGTTACGTCGAGCTTTCTGAATCAAGGCTGGTGTGTACTTTGAAATATTGTTGCGAGCCCCAAAGGTCGCAATGAAGACGAGATCTGGAAATGTGTAATCATTGAGCTTGGTATGCCTTAGCTTATTGACATCTGGTACGACTCTTTGAATGTTATGACGGGGGAAAAACTGAGTCGAATATAGGTCGTTGGCAGCATCCATCGGAAGATAGAGGCGATGTTCGCGTTGAACCTAAATGAAATTGGAACAGGAGTTCGTATGGAACAGTTTTCCTTTGGTCTTGGTGAAGTGGGGCGCTGCGGATAAATATTCGGGGCGCTTCGGCTGTTGGCTAAACCTCACTAGCCAGGCATGGCTGCGACAGCTAGCGGCTAAAACCGAGTAGGAATGTAACCTAACCTAACCTTTTCTTCCTTGCCTTAGGTAACCTGGTTGGAAATTTAGGAAACTCTGAACTTTTGGTGCAACCATGACAGTCTATTCCTTATCGCTTCCTTCCGCGGAGCCGACGACGCCACTAGCTGCCGGCTCCAGCCGGCATGGATCTCCTTCCGCCAGCCCGCTGGAACGTCGTCCGAAATTAACAGGAAAGCGAAAAGCCGACATCGGTCCGTTAATTCTATCCAAACGACATCAGGCTTCTTCCGCCAGCCGACAACAAGTGGAACACTCACACATCCTACCGGCTGCTTTCAGAAATGCTTTTGATGCGGGTTCTGGCGATTCTCCATCTTCTTCTTCAACAATATCATTAGAGGGTCTGGTCCGTGAACATAGAGAACGACTGTATGTTCGCCCTTTACAATGGACGATGCAGCATCTTCTTGTACTTCATTGCCAATTCGTGGACCACGCTCGGACGCCCGATAAAATGTTTGAGCGAACTGAAGCGAATGGTCCGAGAAATACTCCGCAAAACCACCAATTAACAATCCCGCCAACCGCCGCAACCGCTTTGAACCAGTTGCAGACAAAGTTCCATGATCCGACAGTGAGGGTATGGGCTGTTGAGGTTTTCCTTACTGCTTACAAACTCATCAGTCCAAGGCCGCCGAGTAGCTCGATCTTCGAATCCCTTCAACTTCGTTACGGAAAGCACCTAGAAATCCTTAAAGTGGGCCGTGTTTACTCACAACCATCCATGGTTTTGGCTTACATAGATCTGGACAATGTTAGATCACTACGGCGGGCCACAGTCTACACCAAATGGTATCGGGAGCTTTTCAAGCAATGGCCTGATAACAAGCCTGTGAGAGCAATTTTGAAGAAAAGGTTACGCCGAATGCAACCTCGAGAACGGCAATATGATCCGTTCTTACTGCCGGTTCTAGTAGCTTTAGGGCAAGAGAGGCGGCGACGTAGCTTTGTTAGCGGTATTCCTGACCCATTTTCAGGAGCACACGAGCCTCCGTCAAGCCCAGAGCTGCCGCAGGGCACGAGACGAGCCTCTACAAATGTAGGTTTCTGTCCCCACAACCGTTTTCTATTACTAAAACAGTGCTGTTTAGGTTACTATCTTAGCTACAACCAGTCATGATCCGGAACACATTTGGGCATACACTGTTGAATTCACCGATGCCTTTCTAGACTGCTTTGACGACCCTTCCAAGCCCTGCGAAGCGGATCAATTATCCATATCACACTCAAGAATACCAGTCTCACCGATTGAGGTGACCACAACAATGCTGCTGGAGGCCCTTGCCACGAAGCATTAGCCCAGTAGAGATAGGTCAATGGGAATGGTCAAGAAGCCAGGGCTATTACACCCTTGTCGCATTGCGGCCAATCGACGACCTCCATTTCCGGGTAACAACCGCAAGGCTGCACATCGAGGAATGGTTGAGGTTGGCCATGAGTCCGAGGATTTACTAGGTTGTCCATAGAGTCGTTTGGGGTTTGTCGGTTTCGGTTCAGGAGTAACATATGATAACAAGTCAAGTAAGGAAGCCCACATTAGTGAAACTGTCAGGTACAAGCGTTTTGTAATGGTCGACTTGCTACTACTAACACGAGGACCAAGAAGAGTGATGACTGAACTGGAAGGAACAAGGCGAGAATTGTATGTGCTTGGCGAGAGCAAGGCAATAACTAGCGAAGTGCATGTATCATTAGCTTCAGAGCCCTTTGGGCGTTAGCCTACGGGGCGTAATAGACTTGTGTGTGTAAATGTTAATTCGAAAGAACTGAAGAATTTCTAGAGACGGTGCCGGGTTTTCTTGCCGTCCAAATATATCTTCATTGGTCGTCAGTAACTGCCCCGTCAGCCGCAGGTATAGCAAGGCTTACATTCTACAATATGCATGGTAACTCAGCATACATATCTCTTTGTTAACTCTATCGCAAAGACCTTCCACCTCTTCTTTGGACATGCCAAGCATTCTTACCATAGGTGCGCACGATAGAGCTGTGAGACCGCTAGAGAGCCCTACATTAAACCATCTCGCCGCTTCTTTCTCAGTGGCGTCTTCGGGCCAAGGATTGTAACACGCTCTGATGACTGTTTCACTGATGTCTACGAAGCCAGCCAGTGCAAGCTGCTGTCGCGTTTTCTCGGGGTTTACTCTCATTGGGCGGCCGTACTGATCCATTGCGTTGAGAAGTTTTGAGGCCCATTGACTTAGAGCACTGTCGGTCGGAAGAGAATCGTCGTCACACTGTGGGACCCAGTCGATTTCGACTTGCTCCATGCAGCCCCACCCAGGCTTCAGGTGCCTTACTAAGGGGTTAGCCAAGGTCAGCGAGCAGGGACTAATGGCGGATGCAACCAACATGATCATCTTTTTGTACAGATCTGGCCAGTTTTGAATACTGCCGAAGAGTGTTCGGACATGCATGAAGTCCCAGTCCAGGTCAACTGTGTCCCAAGAACCCTCAAGGTCGAATGGTTTCGGAGGTGCCATGGTCCGTGGAATCCTTGGCGATATGAGTCAGCGAAACTTATATCTTTTGGCTGCATTTACATCTTAGGCTGTATCATATTGAAGTCGAGACCTTGTACGTGCATATGGGGATATTTTCTGTAGTAGTTTGTAAGATTGAAGGCCAAGTTGTCTACTTCTTGGCCGACTCACTCAGAGAGTTCTATGGCCCAGATTCCCGTGCCTGTGCCGAGGTCGAGGATCCGCAACGGCTGCTCCACGTCCAACGAAGCCGAGAAGAGATTGTTCTTGCGAACTACTAAGAAGAACTTGTGTAAAACGTCTAGGCGAGCCAGCTCTTCCTTTGCGCAAACGAAGTTAGGTTTATCGGAGCCAAGATGGGCGTACTTGTACTAACTTTGTCGATTGGGAATATGTACTTCTCCCTGGGCAGATTTCCGTTCTTTCCATACCAGCGGCCATAATAAAAGTAAAAATCTTGGAGTTTTCGCGGCACCCGATAGTCGGCCAGATCGCTATGACAGCATGTCAGTACAAGAAGATGGCCTGCGTTGTAGGCAATGTGGTGCAGATATCTCAATGAAAGGCGAAAATTTGAGCTGTACCTAGTTTTGTTATGGCTGCCTGGCATACTGGGAGAGTGTAATTCTCTCTGGTTGCCTTGCAACAGGCTCATGTCAGCGTCATATTGAAGAACAATCTCCGCCCAGAGGTGTGGAGACAGTTAGTCCACATGCATTTCCAGTCATGTGACATTTGGTTCCCCAAATGGCCAGCCCGCTTCAGCCGACAAAAGTGGAGAAAATGGATGAAGAGTTGAGTGACAAAATATCGCAACTAACACCAGCGCTGCCCTCAAATCGAACAAATTAAATCTGGAGTCATATTTGAGGTATTTGACAACCGTCAACGCTAGATTTGTTGTTTGAAATATTTATTCAAGTGTTTCACATGTTTCTAATCTTACCTTCTATGCTCTCCATGTTACTATGTCCAATCTTCCACTACACCTCGTTCCCCCACTTGCTGTCGCCCCGCAGCTTCGCCGCACCATGTCTGACCCAATTCTTCAGGCATGACAATTTCTCAACGATTTCGTCGTCATCGAAAGCCCTTTGCGACGTCGCCGTCAACTTGGCGAGGCTGAACGACCTCTCGCAAGCAGTTGCCATCGCCGGTATCGCGATTATATCGAGAGCTAACTGGCTGACCATCGGAAAATGTCCCTGGTGAGCCATCCACCACTCGATTGGATCCTCAGTCTCTTGCGGCTCTAGCTGCAGATACCTCTCAAGCTCACTTCCCATCGCTGTAGTCTTCGCTGTCCTGCTCTTCACCTACTCCTTGAGTATACTGTTTACCGGGGTTCTCTGCGGCACGCTTGGGGATGCCGTAGTCTTAACAATTGCCCCTCGCTGCTCATCCACCGACCGGTTGCAGCGGTACCAGCGGTCCAGGTAGTCAGATAGTCCATCTTTGGCGTCCCCCGCCCAGACAAGCTGTTCTTCCGATGCCCGATTCATCTCCAAATAGCTCTTGCCCAGTGATGGATGGAGAATGGTGGATGCGGCAAACAACGGCGACTCTCTAAGAGTGGTATAGTATTCATTGAGTTTCTGCCAGGCGGTGATGATGGAGAGTCTCAGATAGCGTCGGAGATCCTTCTTCATATCATCAACTCCCGATGATCCTGATGGCTTGCCTGATCCATCATCACATTGTCTCGAGCCACGACCTGGCAAGGAGCTTTGCATTGACTTTCGCGGATGTATGTCCATCTCGCAATCCATAAATCTAGCAGGAATCTGCCGGTTTCTGTCTGGTCGCCCTCGAGTTAGCTCGACCTGCGAGTTGGTATTCTCTCTGGTTGCCTCGTCTGGAACAGCATGGTAGAACAACTTCCGATCCTCAAGGCGTTCCAGCAAGTATTTCATGCCTGTCATCACCTCCCAAAGCCGTCTATTACCTCCTTCGCTGCCCAGCCCTGCGTTCTCATCGTTTGCAGGTAGAATGGCTCACTAATATGTTTAATTTCTGCCAAAAGTCTCCAGTCATTCCCCTTCAACATGTCGGCCTCCGGTAGCCATTTCTCCACCTCTGGATGGACTAAGGACGCCCTGATGTCTCCCTGCTTGAGGGACGCTCGAGAGATCATGAGATAAGTGGAGTTCCATCTCGTGTCGTTGTTCATAACGACTTCTAGCTCTGCTGTAGACTCACCCGCCAGGAGATATTCTTGTGCTTCGTCGTTCTCGCGTGAGATCCTCTCAAAGAACTCACACCTCTGAGGGGAAGATCTGATGAACTTGGCAACATTGTGGATCTTTCCCACTGACCCTTTCTTTCTCCAGCCTCGTAGATCATCCTCGCGCCGGCCTAGAAGGTCGAAGACCTGCTATTCGGCCTTGAAAGCCTTGAAATCTTTGCTGTAAAGGAAAGCACGAGCAACCAGGTTCAATATATGCCCAAGAGTCACTGCGAGATTTCCTCCGCTGTGACATCCGAGCTGGCGACGGAGTCCCAGTAGGCGCGACTGGTGCTTACCCTGGAGGTCAAGAAAATGAGCTGTGGCTGCCATGACGGCGTGCCGATTGGGTGATGTCTATAGGTCGAACCCTAGATGGATTCTGGTAAAGGCACCTGAGAGCTCCTGCTTGATCTGATCCTTAGACTCGTACATGTCATCCAACAAACGGCCCATCGATTACCGGCTCCATGGTATCTGGTTAGATACGTGAGGGTCAAGTTGACACGCGAGTTGCTGAAAGAATGTATTGCTAAAGAAAGAAAAAGGAACCTTGGTGTTGATCAGAAGTCCCAGGCTTAGTTCTCGGATCATCTTGACTCTAGCACGCGGCACGGCGCTGTACTGCAAGCGTCGTCGCTTGGACCGCTCGGATCCATTGGTTGACGGGTCTGTACCAGCGCCTTGACTGCTCTCGAAGATCTTGTGGAATTTACGTTGGTCAATGGTACTCAAGCTCGCGACGTCACATTCACATACTTGCGGAGGTGGTCAGCTGCCGAACTCGTAGCAGCAGCGGCGAAGAACTCAGGCTGACCCTTCGCGTCGCATAAACGACAGGCCCAGTAAGGAATCGACGGACTGTCGTTAGTGTCGATCTCAACGAGAAAAAAAATCCATGGCGCTTGATCCAGCTCTTCCGGCCCTTCGAACCTTTCCGGGACAAGGACTCGTCCAAAACATATCGTTCGTTCCTCCATACGGCTCGCGGAAGATCTGCAACGGTGGGGTGGTCTGGTGAAGCCACGACTTGCCCAGATTTCTCGGTGGGCGGAGAAGAGCCAAGGCGGAGGGTGGAGCGTCGATCGGCAAGGAATCGCACGCATCGAGGAGAGCTAAACAGACTAGCACTAACGCGGTTTGATGTTGTGGGGGCGAAGGATCGTGACAGTTCAGAAGCTACCTTCCCTTTAGCTAGTTCGAAGGCATTGTGGGGAGTAGCACACTAACGTAAGATCTGAATCATGACTCTGATTGGCCATATCCAATCACCAGACCCTGACATCCACTAGGTTCCGGGTAAGCTCCAAAGACACGCTCGACAGCCTGGCAGATCCGACCTTTGATCGTATATCATGTACCAAATATATCAAATGTTATTTCAAATCCAGGGTTTTGGATTCGTTTGATTTGAAATAAGATTTTGGCATATTTGATTGATTTGTTTGGCAGTTTGTTTGATTGCATTTGATCTGTGGGCAGCGCTGGAAGAAACCTGCTGTAGGCATCGAGAAACGTCGTGTAGAACTGGAGAAGAAGAGTCCATGATTGGAAATACACGTCGACAAAATGTTTTATGAAAGGAAAAGGAGGCATTTCTCGAGACTGTCCAGGGGGCTGGGGCTTTAAGAGGTTTGTAACACTGGGCATGCGAGAATATTTTTGCGTTAACTTCAGCATCGGGAGTGCCAATTCCGTGAATTTGGTGGCAGAAAGCTCTTGTAGGCAGGTCAGGGTGATCCTCAGTGTTCCTGTGAAGTAGAACGTGCTTACCAATGCCCATCTGGCTGCTTGAAACGTCAATGAAGGCAAGTTCATGACCCTCAGCGCTGAGTGGTAGAGACGTCATTTTTATGCGGGGGTATCTGGGGCGCAGATATCCTTCCTGTTTCTCGCTTTCGAGAGGCGCCTTGCGTTTGCGCGATGAATCTTAGAGTATGTGCTCTCATCTCCTCTTCTTGTCGAGAAAAGCGTGGATGGTGAAGTCACCCTCCTCTATCGTATCCTTCTGGTTCATCTGACGGTTCTGGATTCAGAAGAGCCGACTGTGGTAATAGTTCCTATCTGGAGGAGTCTGTACACTTTGGCTCATCGCATAATCGGAAGATACACTGAGATGCTCTGGATGGCTTTGCAAAGGTTGCCGATCACTGTAATTGGACGGGGCGAAATGGTCAACATTAATAGCACTGCCCCGCCCTTGTGAGTAGTGATAAAGTCTCTAGCAACCACTCTTTGTGGGGTCACCAAAGCTGATTTTGGGTGAACTCCTGTAGAGGTCTGATGATGGTCGCGGCTTGAGCTTGATCGGGCAGTGACACAGTGCAAACCGGTCCATGGGCTCGAACAAGGGCCTCTACGCCTTTGTCGAAATCCTATAAGGGCGGAAGTCTCGCGATTGTACGTCTGATTGGTAAGGCAGAAGGATTTAGTTCGTCGATTGTCCAGAGGTTTTCGGGGCCAGGACCAATTTCTATATCCATATTATTGGGTTACCCAGTTTCTGCCATGAGAGTAATCACATACGATCATTATCAACTGCAAATCTCCAAAGATTCAACTGACGAATGAAGTTTGAATGGATCATGTACGTGGAACTGCGACTTCCTCCGTCCGGATCCCTCCGCAGGACTGCGCAGCACTTCCCAGGAAATGAACTCACCTCAAGATCTGAAGAGCGTCCCATATGGCCAGCCGCTGACGAGAAACTAGGCACTACGGTTCAATAGAAGCTCTGGCACCTTGTTCCCATTCGGCTCAAGGCTGTTTTCTTATCGCGAGATGTCAGAAGAGGTGAGTCGAGTCCGGAAGATGCATGGGAGGTCTAAGAAACGAGAAAAAAGTAACTCGGCTGACCTAGTATCGCCATAGCTTTGAGTTCGTAGATGCCTATGCACCTTTTTGCTGGCCTTTGTCAGAAAGTCCGTATTGCGACGATCGGCGAAAATGATGATAGGGTCAAAATGGACCTCGCCAAGCTCTGCCTGTCGTTTCTGGCCGTCTGTTGGATGTACGGACGGGAACCGCCAATGTCCATTTTGAGGACATGCACATATCCAAATATACTGTACAACGCCGTGATTCAGGAAACTTACTTGGGTCGCAAACGCATGCATGTGATCGACCGTACTGGATGGCATTCTTAGTTACTCGAGACCAATGTCTAGTGAAAGACTAGGACTTTCAGCCCCATAACTTGCATGATTGCCCTTGTTGATCGGATCCAACCCTGTCCACAAGATACTCGCCGTGCTCCAAGCTTTTGCGATCCTTAAGCCCGTGAGTCCGTCATGAATCCAGCTGCCGACCAGGACCTTCTGCTGTATTCAGCCCTCCCCAATGATTCAGATTGTAAGAACGAATATCTCTTACCACAATCTATCCAAGAAGAAGGAGGCTTCTTCCAAAATCCATCGCCGAGTCATTCCATTCCATCTGCATCTCAGCCTGGGATTCTTCAAGATAGCTGGCATCCGACCTCAGCTCAGGCTGATCACGCCTTCGATGGATGGTTCGAAAGAGATTGGGTGTTATTTCCGGATACTCCAGATTCAGTTGAACAACCTGACGATATAATGGAGATCTCAGTTGTCCTCAGCAGTTACAGTTCCTTAGAAGAGGCCCAGTTTAGAGTAGATCGGCACGTGCAGCGGACATTGGAGCAAAGGCATCTCGTGGCCCAGAGTGGCAAGAACAAGCGCCCAGCAAATGCATTCATCCTCTATCGTATAGCCTTTCAATGCGTGGCTGAAGAGTTCTATAGCACCAAATGTCAACAGCTTGTGTCAAGAATATGTGGGAAGAGCTGGCAACTCGAATCGGACGATGTAAAAGCGTGGTTTCAAGAACAGGCCACGATCCAGAAGGCGAACTATACGCAGGCTTTTGAGCATGCGTGAAGGAGAGGCTTGAAAATTAAATGTATTTAACAGTTTTCCTTCTTCTGAGCTTCTCTGGTGGAGTATAGTATGGCCTTTTCGAAGGGGGAGGAAAAAGCAAATATTTGCACCAGAACCGAAAGCTACAGTGCCCTTGGAGGAAAATTGTATCCAGAAACATGTAAAGCAACTCAACAAAGCGCGGACACTATACAACAAGCGCCTCAGAGAAATGCAAATATATCTGACATGAAGAGTGAATTATCTTTTGGACCACTTTGCTTACATAAAATTCAACCATCCCATATGAAATCACAAGCAGAAATAGTAGAACGGCTCTATTTGTTGAGTCATCCAAGATTTGTTGTGCTTTGCTCGCCCACTTATGGAATTCCTCGATTACTAGTTAGAGGTTTCGAGATTCTTCGGAATCGCGTCTAAATGCATGATAAAACCGTGAGAGGGTATGCGATAATTCTTTAGGTGATGCGGCGGGGACAAACTGTGTCGCTTCTTTCGTGAGATATGAACAGGGATGCATGTGGTA